GAACACAATTAGATTTTTCCAGGTCATTTGGTCATTTTAATCAGTTTCCAGGTGGTTCCATGACTGGAAAACAAGTGTAATATCCAGGTTTTCCAGGACATGTGGGAACACAGCAGTCACACTGACATGGCTGCTTTCATTTTCATTTGTTTCTGTGTTTTTCAAACATTCTTGCAGGTCGCAGACTGTCTCAAATTATAGATACACCGATTATCCTAAAACAACTTTAAGGTTTTGCAGAAATATATGAGGATTCAATTGGCCAAAACAATCACATATGTGCAATATCTTGCTTGGAAAAGGACTCCAAGGATTAAAGTTTATTTTACTGGTCATTTAAACACAGGCTGTGGGAATGAAATGTCAATACTATTCCCTGTTCTACTTTTAAAAAACAAAATAAAAAATGTGATTAATAGAGTTCATAAAAATGTTTCAAAAAAGATATTTGATATTTATTCCATTATTGTGGCACATTAGTAAAGCATTAACGTTACATATAAATATCTAAAGGTGGCATTCAAAATCAGTCGTTTTATTTTCAAATCTGCAGACATTCTTCTAAATACACGTTTTTTTTTTCATTTATATTTAAACCTTTAAATGTACATTCTCACATAAATGTATGTTACATTTGCATTTTATTTTTTATTTTTTTTTGGGGGGGCAGCTGACACCCTATGCTACCCCTTTAGATCCGTCCCTGTAAATAAACTCTAACAACATTGTAATGTTTAACGTTAACTCTTGACGTTAGCTAACGTCATGTTTCAGTGCGAGTTAACATTTTGCTCCGAGGTAACGAAGTGTTAGCTAACGTTAGGACAACCACAGTACAGGTCAGTTAGCGATATTAGGTTTCTGCAGTGATAACGTTAGCCGACGTGGCAAGGTGCTGTTGACACAAACACCACTTTACTTACCCATGCGTATCTGTACGCTGGCTGTAGCAACGTTTGTGCCATAGTTGAAGTCATCTTCAATTGAAGACCTGGGGTATTTCTCACTACTCATCGTGCTGCTGTAACGCTCTCTCAACAAGACGCAGGAGGGTAGACACTGCTGTGGATCCGACAGAATACGGAAGGACTGGCGTTTAAGGATTAGGAGGCAGCGCCGTCGTCATCACGCCATTACGTTCACCTCGCGCTCAGGCCTCAGGCTTGACGTCGAATAACCTTTATTGAATATTTCCAACGGACAATGCGGATGAAGGAATAAATAAACTAAAACGGAAAACAATAGGGGAAAACATTAGGCTACATTTAGACATTAGCTCCACTGTAATGCACGAATTTACAGTCTTTACAACTTTCTTATTAGTACATCATTTGTTTGTAATATTTGTTATATATTGCTCAATATTTTTATGAGAAATAGAAACAATGGCCATTAAGGAACCTTAATAACCAAATAATTAGGCCTATAATAATTTCAAGATGTTTGATGTATGCTTGTTTTAAGTTTTTGACTATTCGTTAAATAAAGCAAAATCAACAATTAAATAAATGAAATGTAATAAACTTGCTTCCTTGGTAAATTTGCTGTAAACAAATCTAGACACAACTAAATAGAAACAAAAGAAAACAAAACTAAAGAAAACATTATTCTTGAGTTTTCTAACCAGCAGGTCATTAGTAAGGCATTATTAGTAATAATATTACTTTTCTTTTTCTAATCGTGGAGGAAACCAGTTTGGAAGATTACATTCAGCATTACTTTAATTTTTAACAAACAAAACTATGTTTTAATCACCGTAAGACCAATTTTGTGTATCAGAAAAGTAATATAACTAGTAGTGCACTAATTACTGTTGGCAGGGAGTAATGTTAAATGTAATAATATTACTTTTGTATTACTTATTATTAGAAAGAGTAATGAGTAAGAAATTTGACTTAACTCCCTTAACTTTTTATGAGTAACAGCTCAACACCGTTCTTGAGTATTCAACAGGATTAAATGTTTGTGTGACAATGTAATAACATGGAAAAGAAACAACCTCCTTTTGAAACAAACAATGTGCGGTTCTTGTTGTTTTAAGGACTGCAAAAAACAACAACACAGAAAACGGGCTCTACTAGCAGGATGTCTCAGTGACTGAGATAAGGCTTAACCATAAGGAACCAATGAAAATGTCACTACTGTTCCAAATACAATAACGCTGAGGAGAATATGGTGCTTGCCATGCCAATAGAGCTGGTTTATGGGAGTTCTTAAAAAAAATTGCTTGATGTCTATTACATCATCATGCTGCATTAAAAACACACTTTGAATGTG